TTTGGTGTTATTTCTACACAATGATAGCCTCTATATTTTCAATGAGATTTTATCTTTTTGTCATCGTGTATTGTCCCTGAAGTTTTCTCACCCCCGTCCAAGGTAAGTTTTATTGCATTTGCTATAGCGTAATTTCAATTATAAAATTTTCTGATTAACTCTGAAATGTTCCCTGGCCTGCCTGGAACATTCTACAATCCTCATCGAAAATAAATTCGTTTAGTACACTTTCCTACTCTACTTATAATTTCCGCTCTATGTAAACATATTCTCACATAATTACTCTCGGCCGTCATTTGATTTTGTTTCAATATGTTAAGATAAATATGCTTCCAGAGAGAGTCTCTTTTGTAATATGTAGTCGGGTTAATTATGGCAGTCTAAAATGCAGTCTTACTATATCCTGGACTGCCATAAACTCAACTCCTACTTTATTTTCTTCTTGGATAACTGACATTTTATAGCAAACTCTAGTAGAGTCTTAAGGCACGGCTTTACTCTGATAGGCAATGTTGTTATTTTGTAATGAAAGTTGTTCTTTCTCTTCCCCTTTCCCTCCGTTCCATCCCAAATCTTTATCCTGACGCCTTTCAAGTGCTATATAGTCGTAATGGGTTGTCGCTTTCTCCTGGTAGTTCCTCCCCCTATCCTGCTCCTAAAGTTTCATCCTAATTAGTCTCTGTTTTACCTGGATGAGGTTCAGGGCGTTCTTGTACCCCCCAAGACCGCCCCAGGGGCCAGGCTTGACTTGTGATAACTTGGTCCAACAGGCTGTTGTGTGGAGCGGCCCCCAGGCCCACATATCCACTACAGACCGGTTGGTCTGTAGTGGATATGTGCACTTCTTGAAGACTTCCACTTTTGTTCCGAGAATATTTCTTATACATGCTTGAGGGATATTGACAACCGTGGGTCTCTGCTGTTCTTTGATTGTGCATATGGCACCTCTACTCTTCTCTGTATCTAATCTGCATTTTCTTTCATATCGTTCACTCCAGTATCTTGAAATTTTACTGTGCAAGTTTGCGACCTGGCCCTCCAGTATTTTCAATGTATATATCATTTGATAACCCTTTCATTACATTTCTAAAAAATATATTTTGAGAGTTTTGAAACGATCCCAATAGTTTAGGTGATTAATCGTGTTATGAATGTCGTATATGTTCTCTGAATTCCCTCAGTTCCAGCAGCCTCTTCTATTCTGAGGGGGGAAATGGGTATCGAGCAGAATTTAAGACTGGACAGCACCAGTGATATGAAACTCACACACAAACACACACACACTGTATTCACCTAGTTGCGTTTGCGGGGGTTGAGCTTTGCTTTTAACAGCCGTGTGTGTAACACCCGAGTTGAGTTTATGGCAGTCTAGGATGCAATACGACTGCATCTTAGACTGCCATAGTTAGCCCGACTACATATTACAAAAGAGGCTTTATCTGGAAGCATATTTAATATCACCTAATGAAACAAAATCAAATGACGGCCGAAAGCAATTATGTGAGAATATGTTTACATAGAGAGGAAATTATAAGCAGAGTAGGAAAGTGTACTAAACGAATTTACTTTGGATGAGGATTGCAGAATATTCCTGGCCGGCCAGGGAACATTTCAGAGTTAATCAGAAAATATAATATTTGAAATTACACTATAGCAAATGCAATAAAATTTACCTTGGACGGGGGTGAGAAAACTTCAGGGATTATAACGATGACAAAAAGATAAATTCTCATTGAAAATATAGAGGCTATCATTGTGTAGAAATAACACCAAAAAGTTACAGGAATTTCTTTTTAAATACAAAATTCATATTTAATCACCGTCCCGATAGAGAACGACTCGCAAGACACTGTAACAAAAGGTCAGACAATGCATAAACTACATTGATTTCCCAAAACCAGGAATGCAGAACAGTATTCCTGAAAAAAGGAAAACCCCGACACTAAGGAACCAGTCTCCACCTTGCTGGAGGAGGCAAGGAGCAAGTATCAGGAAGTGAGATAAACTTTTACTTGGAGTTCCAGCCAGATGTCAGCACCCTCACTCGGCTGAGTCTTCACTTCAAGTAAAAGTTGGCGTCTCTTTCTGGGATTATCCGTTTGTGTTTGTTAGGCGTTGACTGGGTCTCAAGGTGGTCAATGTTCCTTTAAAATGCTGCTTTGGATTTTTGGTCTCGAGAAACTAGGATAGTAGATTATTTTCTGACATTTGCTTTAACAATTATTTTTGTCCAAAATAGGAATGTTATCGGATTTAGGTGATTACGTGTGACATTTATCACACATTGTTTAGGTGTCTGCGAACAAATCAGGAAAAATTCTTATTAGACAAAATTTGTCTATACATTATAAGTCTTCGACACAATATGTTGCTGCATCATCTACATTAAACTGCTTCCACTAAATCGCTTAATGTGTGTGTGTCACCAAATTAATAAAGAAATACAATTATTATCTAATTCATCAAATTTTATTTAATCATATTTAAAAGTATTTACAATCGGAATTACACTAAAGAGCATATATTTGTCAGGTCAAATTATGCATAAGCTGGGGCGGGTGTGTAACTGGGAGCGGGCTTGTAGGCGGGGGCGGGCTGGTAGGCGGGGGCGGGTTGGTAGGCAGGGTACTTGGCCTCGCCCTCGTAGCTCACTACAGGTACGTAGCCAGAGTCGCCACTCACTCCGTAAGTCACCTTCTGCTGGCGACCGTCGGGAAGCTGGACGTAATAAGTACCCTTGGTGTCGTAGCCGTCGCGAGACTCTTGGTGACCGAAGTCGTTGCCGGAGTAGTCGTCTCTTACGGCGTACTGTGAGTTATACTGAGGAGGAGTCTGTGGGGGAATTGTTTACACTATACTAAATGCTGTCATAAAAATTACATATAATGGATTCCTCTTAACAAGTGCTTTTAACTTCAACTCGAGCACTGTACCTAATATAAGGTAAAATATGTGACTATCAAATTATTTCATTGAAATGCTGTATATAAAATGTGTGGAAAAATCTTACGTCAGGATAAGTTGGAGCACCATAGGATGGTTTGTGGTACACTGGGGGAGGTTCAGGGCGGGCGAGGGTGACAGCCACGACAGCAGCCAATACCAGAACCTACAGGGCCAGGCATCAACACTTATTAAGAACCTACAAGGCCAGGCATCAACACTTAGTAAGAACCTACAGGGCCAGGCATCAACACTTATTAAGAACCTACAGGGCCATACATCAACACTTATTAAGAACCTACAAGGCCAGGCATCAACACTTACTAAGAACCTACAGGGCCAGTCATCAACACTACTCATAACATTATATATTATGGTATATCATATGACAATAACTATTTTCTGCTTGTAAATGATTAATTATAGTAAACAAAGGTAAAGTATAATATTCAACACTTGTAAACAAGAAGGGAGATCACCACCTTGGCAGTCATGTTGGTAGAGGAATGTGAAGGCGACTGATGGCTTCCCATGCAGACCAGAGCCTTTTATACAGCAGTTTCTCTCAAGGTCACTTGACGTAAAAGTTCTCACTCTACACTAAAATTAGTCAGCCGGGCCTTTTATTAACCATCCTATACAGTTCTCGTAGGCGGTGGCGAAAAGGTTTAAGAGAGGTTTATAATGGGTTCAGGAACTGAACCCCATATTTGATTAACCTTAGGGGGTAACAGTCTTGTTGAAGCTAGTTACATTATTTTTCACACACACACTCACACACACACACACACACACACACACACACACACACACACACACACACACACACACACACACACACACACACATACCGGCCGGCCGAGCGGACAGCACGCTGGACATGTGATCCAGTGGTCCCGGGTTCGATCCCGGGCGCCGGCGAGAAACATTGGGAAGAGTTTCTTTCAACCTATGCCCCTGTTACCTAGCAGTAAATAGGTACCTGGGAGTTAGTCAGCTGTCACGGACAGTTTCCTGGTGTGTGTGTGTGATGTGAAAAAAGGTAGTAGAAGTAGGTAGTTAGAAACAGTTGATTGACAGTTGAGAGGCAGGCCGAAAGAGCAGAGCTCAACCCCCGCAAGCAGAACTAGGTGAATACACACACACTACACACATGAATAAGTACATACACATTTCTGAACACCTCTAATTAAGTTATCTCTGAATTCTTCGATTTATTTCGCGTTCGATTACATAGTGATTCAAAGTATGTGAATAGTTCTGCTGACATAATATACATTTAGCCTCGACTCCGTCAGCAGATGGTGCAAACTTCCATAGGTACTAGTAGCCGAGCCTACACCTAACTGTGGTAACGTTTTGAACGGACTAATAAGGTCTGCTAACCTTACTGGATGATCCATAGGTGCGCATTTCCTCCTTTATTATAAAATGATGACAGCTGGAGTAACTGGTTTGAATTTCCCTTTGTCTCAAGTCTGCTGGATATTGTTGCTGTTCCCGGTATATTGCTGCGCAAAGGCAATCCTAGATGATAATTAGTTCCATCCTTATGAGAAAATGTTCTTGCTCACTTATCAGTTCTATCATGCATTCGGAGATCAGTGTAGGATGGAATTAACATGAGACGAACTCCGACCCCATCAGTGAATTTTTTATTATATCTGTGCCTAGCTTCAGACACAAGCATGTAACAGTTATGTATTCGGAAACTGAGTGCAGTCAAAGACGATAAGGAGTCACAATTAACGTATCAATTTTCGATTCATTTCACTTATTAACTGATTTCTCTTGCAGGATCCCTGCAGTTGGCTTTGGTGCAACTGTCGAGCAATATAACATTAAACACACAGATGTATGTATTTGTTCCTAAGAGTATGTGTGATACAGCGTTGCTCGTTATTGGCGCCAAAACCAACTATGGTCAGCCAGGAAGAGAAATCAATGGAAAAGTGAAGCCACACATATGTTCTCTCCCACCAGACAAATTTTGCCACAAATGTTTCTAACACATTCTCTTCCTGAACATGTGAAAACATTTTATCTGTTATTTTAGTGGAGTCTCTACGTCACGTGACCTTGAGAGAAACTGCTGTATAAAAGGCTCTGGTCTGCCTAGGAAGCCATCAGTCGCCTTCACATTTCTCTACCAACATGACTGCCAAGGTGGGGATCTCCCTTCTTGTTTACAAGTGTTTCTTGTAATATGACATAAACCAGGAGTATCAGAACTGCGAATATTGTTTTGAAATTTTATTTAGTATAACAGCTATTAGATTAAAATTTTAAATTACAATCTAAAGTGATATAAGAAACGTTAATGACTTTTCCTGTAGGTACTGGTATTAGCTGCCGTCGTGGCTGCCACCCTCGCCCGCCCTGAGCCTCCCACAGGGTATCACAAACCATCCTATGGTGCTCCAGCTTATCCTGACGTAAGATTTGGTGTTCATTTCATATACAGTATTTTGAATACAATAATTTTATTATCATATACTATGCATCTTCTTCGTTGATATACAGTATTATTATTGTTTAGAAAGTTCAATCAGATATTAGGTTCAGTGCTTCAGTTGTTAAACTTGAAAGATGCCTGAAGAGAAGGATACATGAAATATAAGTTTTATAATAACTTTTGTTATAGTGTAAACAATTCCCCCACAGACTCCTCCTCAGTACAACTCACAGTACGCCGTAAGAGACGACTACTCCGGCAACGACTTCGGTCACCAAGAGTCTCGCGACGGCTACGACACCAAGGGTACTTATTACGTCCAGCTTCCCGACGGTCGCCAGCAGAAGGTGACTTATGGAGTGAGCGGCGACTCCGGCTACGTACCTGTAGTGAGCTACGAGGGCGAGGCCAAGTACCCCGCCTACCAGCCCGCCCCAGCCTACAAGCCCGCCTCAGCCTACAAGCCCACCCCCGCCTACAAGCCCGCTCCCAGCTACACACCCGCCCCAGCTTATGCATAATCTGACCAGACAATATATATGCTAGTTTAGTTCCAATTGTAAATATTTATTAAATTACTGGAATAAAATTTGATGAATTAGACAAGAATTTAATTCCTTAATGTGTTGGGTGACACATTAAATGATTTGCTGAAAGTAGTCTATTATATATAGATGATGCAGTGACCAACAGAAGGTATCGATTTTTTGTTTATTAACAAGCTTAAGTATACACAGCAATGTGCTGCTACCTTATTCTGTAGGAAAGATTACACAGTGTAGATAAAAAACTAGCTAAAAGTTCATCAAATATCCCAATCTCATAGGATGGTTAGATTGATTTATTAACTCTACTAGCAAAATCTGGGTACAGATTTATAGAAAAGCGATAAGGTATCGAAAGCTTTTAATATTTTTTCCAGTTTTGATTTATAATAATTTTCACCTGTTTTATTCACTCATACTTTTTATTCACACATACAGTCATTTTATTCACATATGCACTCAAAGAAGGTATAATAAAAGTCACTAATAATTACCTAAATCCGATAACAATATGTAATAGACCAAAATATGCAAATGGTCCTTAAATAACGTACAATAACCTGATTTATCTAGAGCAAGAATCCTGATCAGAATTCTTTAAAAGAAAATTGGTCACCTTGAGACCAAGTCGAAGCCTGCCAAGAAGAAACGCAAATGGGAAAATCGCAGAAAGTAATGAAAACTTTTACTTTGGGTGGAGACTCAGCCAGGTGAGGGTGCTGACATCTGTCTGGACCTGAGCTCCAAGTAAAAGTCTGCCTCACTTCCTGTAATTTGTTCGTTACCTTCTCCAGGAAGGATTAGCCTGTGTCTTTTGGGTCCCAATCTTACCTTTCAAGAAAATTGTTCTGGATTAATGGTTGTGGGAAATGAAAAGATGTTTCTATAGCGTCTGACAGTTGTTAGTGCCTTTCAGGTCCTTCCCTATTGGGAATGTGATAAATTCTGAATTATATATGACGTCAGTGACTTTCTTGGTGTTAATTCTACATAAAGACAGTTTCTATGTTTTAAATCATACATTTGTCTTTTCGTTTTTGCGTATTAACGCAATAACGTCAGTTTCCAGGTCGTGGAAACTGACGTTTAGTGCCTCACTTATCTTCTTATTTCACATTTAGGTCCATCTTCCTCCGACACTCACGTTCAGAAATGTCATCTTATTTATGCCAGAAATTGTATATCGGTTTTATTTAGATTTCAGTTCATCTCCTAAATTCATCTAGAAATAAAATTCTTATTGACTTCAATCTTTGTTTTATTCAGGTCATTTGGTTAATAAATACTACCAGAAATAAAGAATGTAGTATAATGCTAAGTCAAATTATGCATAAGCTGGGGCGGGTGTGTAGCTGGGAGCGGGCTTGTAGGCGGGGGCGGGCTTGTAGGCGGGGGCGGGCTGGTAGGCGGGGTACTTGGCCTCGCCCTCGTAGCTCACTACAGGTACGTAGCCGGAGTCGCCGCTCACTCCGTAAGTCACCTTCTGCTGGCGACCGTCGGGAAGCTGGACGTAATAAGTACCCTTGGTGTCGTAGCCGTCGCGAGACTCTTGGTGACCGAAGTCGTTGCCGGAGTAGTCGTCTCTTACGGCATACTGTGAGTTGTACTGAGGAGGAGTCTGTGGGGGAATTGTTTACACTATAACAAATTCTCATAAAACTTCACCTTAATGGTTCATGATCACAAACTCCAACAATTTCAACCACTAGAACACTATACCTAATTATCAAACTTTCAGATTGAAATAACAAAATATATTACATAAGAATAATGCCATTATATGATCAACTTATTTAGTTCACAATTCTGTACATCAAATATACACTAAACTCTTACATCAGGATAAGCTGGAGCACCGTAGACAGGTTTTGGGGGAGTGTATGATGGGGGTGGACCGTACACTGGGGGAGGTTCAGGACGGGCGAGGGTGACAGCCACAAGGGCAGCCATCACTAGAACCTACAGAACCAGGCATCAACACTTATTATATGACATGGAATTAAATCATAATATCAATGAGCTCTGCTATTAAATGACGTATTGCACACTGCAGTGTTAATATATTCGTAGTTCTGATACTCCTGATTTATGTCATATTACAAGAAACACTTGTAAACAAGAAGGGAGATCCCCACCTTGGCAGTCATGTTGGTAGAGAAATGTGAAGGCGACTGATGGCTTCCCAGGCAGACCAGAGCCTTTTATACAGCAGTTTCTCTCAAGGTCACGTGACGTAAAAGCTCTCCTCTCTACACTATATTTAGAGGGCTGAAATGTCTTCAAATGTCCTGGAAGAGAATTTGGTAAAAACATTCATGGAAGAAATCACATATTGAGTAAGAGAATACATGTGATGCTTCGTTTATCCAATTATAATAATTTACATATACATCTCAATTTACAAGAGAGAATGTCTGTCTGTATAAGGTTGGGGCCACACTTTTGCAGTTGATCTCACGCAATTTTTCAGTGAATTGTGAGTATATGGCGAGTGTTAAAAGATGGTAGGGGTCTCCCTTTAGGTAGGAATGATTTTTATTTGGGTTTCATTGTCAATAGAATTTTAGATTAAACCTTTCAGATAACGCACTTAGAGTTTGCCAGTGTAGACCACTTATCACATGCCTTTGTATGACTACCCATCCTGTGTGATGGGTATTTTAGCATTACGTAGCTAGCTTTTGACACACTGTACTCCTCCTTCATATAGTCTAGGGCAGCTGCTGAAATGAAGATGTACCTAAATGTGTTAACAAAAAGTTATCTATGTCGATTCAACTTTGATAATATTGATTCAAACTCAAGTATGCTCTGCCCACTGGGAGCAAGAGCAGGGGAGGATAAAGGGACGTACATTGAATGTGAATTGAATTTTCAGAGGGAAGGAGAACGGGAGAGAGAGAGAGAGATAGGGAGACTGGGAGGGAGGGAGATTAGAAGAATGTGAGGGAGGGAGGATGAGACTAAAGGAAATAGAATTGGAAAACGGGAGAATGGGAGGGAGAGAGAAAGAAAGAAACCTCGGCTTTACTAGGTACCCCATCAGTCAATAAAAGAGAATGTTTATCCAAGGTTTTAATCTAATCGCTTGAGGATAGCCTCCCACAACTTTATATGGTGGTTGGAGACTTTATGGAGAGTCTCACAGGGTGTTCGTCGTCGACCTCAATACCACCCTTGAAGAGGGAAACGTCCTCTACACCCACTTAACGAAATCAGTTGATATGAAATGTGCAACTAAAACTCCATATAGTTGAGAGTCGAGTAAAAATGCCTACACAACACAGAGAGTAAGCACATCAACGTGATGTGTCAATGAGAAGATCCGTAGGAGCCGTGATGAGGGTTTGAACCTATGCGGTGGGTGTTTCCACATACACAGCCTAGTCAACTGGGGTACGACATGGTAGCCTATGTGTCTACACCGCCGGCTCAGCCCAATCTTCTACTGGACGAACTGCAGCAGCATGTAGGTTTTATAGAAATAATATTTGCACATAGACTATCATCGTCAGGTTAAACAACGGGCTGACCTCTACATAAACAGAACTAGCGGCACTACAACTAGCTACCAAAATATTAAAACACATTGGAGGAGGAATAATAGTTTGTGATTCAAAATCTGCTCTTCAAACAGACTTCTCCTGCAAGATCGGCAGCACGAACCCCATACTAGCAAATACAAATGACGTGATGGCTTCTGAGAATAAAGAGCTCATAATCTTCTTTGTTCCATGCTGGAGTGAGTAACTCCTAAATAATGGATTGTCGCACTACCAGCATGGAACCTTCTATGTTTAGTTTAACAGAAGTTCCTGTGTGTTTCCGAACAAAGGTACTATACTATTATATCACTGCGCTCGTAGGAATTATCCGGTAAGAAGAGGCATTGAATGTGATCCAGTAATTTCAGGCCTTGAATGTGATCTAGTAATGGCTGGCCTTGAATGTGATTCAAAAGGATGAGACAAGCATTTCCAATCATCGTAGAGCAGCACATAAACAATCCACACCAGAAGCTTAGGTTGTCTAAGCGTTATGTCTGATTACCAAAGTACTATTGCAAAATTATATTGATTTGCATCAATGGAATAAAACAAAACTTTCTCTTTTATATATAAGTTTTCACTATCACTTTTCATAAGGTAATTTGTAAATTCAAAATTCGTATTTTAATCAGTAGCTTTATTCATGACATTTCAGTAAAAAAATCAGTCGGAATTATATGAATAATTATTTTATTAGGCGTAAGCTGGGGTGGGCTGGTAGGCTGGGGCGGGCTTGTAGGCTGGGGCTGGCTGGTACGCTGGGTACTGGGCTTCACCCTGGTATTCAACCTGGGCTACGTAGCCGGAATCGCCACTGACAACGTAAGACACTTTCTGTACGCGACCGTCGGGAAGCTGGACGTAGTAAGTTCCCTTGGTGTCGTAACCGTTGCGATTTTCTTGGTGGCCAAAGTCGTTGCCGGAGTAGTCGTCCTTCACGGCGTACTGGGAGTCGTACTGGGGAGGTGTCTGTGAAAAACAGAATTTTCCCAAAATGTGTATATGCGAAGGGAATTACAGACAGCATTTCCTATAATAACCCTAATTTACTCCCTACCTGACAATTACAAATTAGGAACTATGAAAGACTTCCATTAAATTGTCTTTAAACTTGAAAAAGATTATTTGATATTCCTATTAAAACAAACTAACCTATTTGAACTTCGAAAGAATTCTAGTTAATTCCGTTACCAATAACTTTTGAGGTGTTGGTGTTTGAAAATTGAAAACATACATCAGGGTAAACTGGAGCTCCATAAGCTGGTCTTGGTGGACTGTAGGCTGGCACAGGCGGGGGCCCGTATGTTGGTGGAAGTTCTGGGCGGCCGAGAGCAACTGCCACAATGGCAGCCAGGAAAAAAATCTGCAGGATGTGACAGGAAAATTTTGGCTAAAACATCACCAGGACGACATTTCTCAACTATATATTTATATGATATTCAACTATATCTCTGCTTGGTTTGCTTATTACACAACAGCAATAGCTTACAGAATTGCTTATCACAATAGCATTCAGACCAACAGCAAGTTTGGTGTAAATGCTGTCTGGTTTGGTCTTAAGACAGGCTTAAGGCCTGTTTACCTCTAGAAGGTATTAAAACCACATACACGGTTAAGCCGTGTTTACCTTACTGGAAAAAAAACAGCAAGTTTGATGTTAGGTTCTAGGCCTGTCAACCTCTAGAAGCCTCTTGAGTTTACTGACCAACATCAAGTATACTTCAGTCCCAAACATAATTCAGGACTAAATTAAATAAACACCGAGTAGCGGAACATGTGAACTGCGTCCCCATTCACTACTATAAGTTATATATGCTTCAGTTATGAAGCCAATAAGTTATCCATACAGAGAGGAAGAACTCTCCACCTTGTAAGTCATGCTGGCACTGAGCTGTGAAGGCGACTGATGCTTCTCTGGGGCAGACCGTCGCCTTATATACCAGCAGCCACGCCCAGGGTCACGTGATGGGGCGTGTTTGGAACTCGCGGAGCTGACACCATTCTTACGAAGGTGAAACGTCTTTTGACTCTGCAATGGTAATGGTGTCGATATAAATAACAGGAAGAAGATATTATGTACTCACCTAGTTTTTCTTTCGGGGGGTTGAGATCTGGCTCTTTGGTTCCACCTCTCAACTGTCAAGCAACTGTGTACAGATTCTGGAGGCTATTAGGCCATATCAAATCTACACTTGAAACTGTGTATGGCGTCTGCTTCCACCACATCACTGCCTAATGCATTCCATTTGTTTACTATTCTAACACTGGAAAAATTATTTCTAATGTCTCTGTGGCTCATCTGTGTACTAAATTTCCACCTGTGTCTCCTTGCCCACTGATCACTATGTGATTAATGACATTGGACAGGGAAAGCTGCAGTTCTTGAATGTGGTTAAAGGTGTAATGAAGCACTTAACAAGTGAGCAGTTAACGTAACTTTGATCACGTGAGAGTAACTGAACGATAGGTCAATGACTAAAAAAGCAATATGTTCCAGATGTGCTCTAACTTCCTGGGAATTAAGTGATTTTAACGTCTTGAAACGCAAGTGTTTTATATATAAGTTTGACGAGAGAACAAGCACTGGACTCGCTACAACGAGACCAGAGTACAAGTTTCTTCCGACCAGAGTACAAGTTTCTTCCTCTAGGATATTCAAGACGCCAGTCACTGGAGTTAAGGGTTTGGGACGCCAGTTTCTGGGGTTTAGGGTCTGAGACGCCAGTCATTGGGGTTAAGGGCCTGGGAAACAAGGACTCATTACTTGTTAGAAAACATTATTTAAGTCTTTGTTTTGATTTCGTCTTTCTTTTCGTTACCCTTCTCATTTCTTGTTATTATTCTTGTTTATTTATTATCTTCGTTCTCTTCCTAATATACCAAAGTTGGTAAGTAGTCTAAGGCTGTGAGAAGGACGAGTAGGGGCAGGAATTTCTGAGGCAATGAAGGGAGATAAAGGGTAAAGTCTTAATGTGAGGTGTCGAAAGGAAAGTGATAAAGTCTGAAGAAGTGACGAGTGTGAGGGGAGGAATGATTGAGTCTCTGAGATGACGAGAGGGCTTAAGTCTGTGAGGTTACTGTTTAGGGAGACTAAGGTCTATGAGGCGACCATGAGGTAAGGAAATAGAGTGAGTGAATGAAGGGGAAATAATTATGAACTCATGAACTCATTGTGTCAGATGCGTTCTGCGAAGGAAGAACATTTGGTCTCCTGTACACGTCCGTCACCACGAGTTCAACAGACCACAGAACAATTGAGATCTCAGCATTTCAACAATTGCCTCAAAAACGTCCCCCTCGAATGATGCTAACAATCTCTGGATTTCAGGCGAGGAGTCACAATAACGTGGCTGAAGTATGTTGACTAGAAGTTGAAGGGACGACGATGTTTCGGTTCGTCCTGGACCATTCTCAAGTCTCACAATCGACTTGAGAATGGTCCAGGACGGACCGAAACGTCGTCGTCCATTCAACTTCTAGTGTGTGGTCTGGTCAACATCTCTGGATTTGCTATAGCGAAGAAAATTTACTGTTCTAACCAAGCCAGAGACGCACGAACCCAAGCCACCCACCTAACCTAACCCCAGCCACCCACCTAACCTAACATAACCTAACCCAAGCCACCCACCTAACCTAACATAACCTAACCCAAGCCACCCACCAAAAATACCCAAAGCCACCCACGTAACCAAACCTAACCCAAGCCACCCACCTAATTTAACTAACCGATGCGTAGAAAACGTGGATTTTTGTGAACCTATTTTTCATAGAAGGTTGCATTTGGTACGGTGGTTACCATACCATCGTAATAATTCAGATGACGTGTTGAACAACACGGACCTTAACACCATAACGATACAAATACAGTTTTGTATGAATACAACAACATAACAGTACAAAAACAGTGTTTAATAATGATCACTGTGCAATGTAGCACAGTAGTCTACGTCCTCGGCTCACAATCCCCAGGTAATACAGTAACAGTTGAGCAGCTTTTCCTGATGCCTCTGTTAACTTAGCAGTAAGTAGGCCTCTGGAGTTTGACAACTGTTGTGGGGTTGCAGCATGGGTGGGGGGGGGAGGTCAGTAACTGGCTGACTAGTGACCTCAGCGACCCCCAAGTACAGCCATCCTATCCCCGACTGGCTGACACGATGAGAGATGTCTTCTGACTGAAAGACGGTCTGAAGATTATCGACGGTGCTCTAAGTAACACCCTCTCCTCCTCCCCCCTAAAAAAAAAAATCCCCAGCTGGCTCCTCCAGTTGTGAGTCTCCTCTACCAGCTATAACAGTGAATTATAGTGATTTGGAACTTTTATCTTGTAATTGAAGTTTAGCTTTCCATTTGGAACTTTTATCTTGTAATTGAAGTTTAGCTTTCCATTTGGAACTTTTATCTTGTAATTGAAGTTTAGCTTTCCATTTGGAACTTTTATCTTGTAATTGAAGTTTAGCTTTCCATTTGTAACTTTTATCTTGTAATTGAAGTTTAGGTTTCCAGTTACATGAAGGTATATTGATGAAGGGGCAGTGTGGTCTCGCATGAGTTTTGGGAAGCACAGGAAGAATACAAATCGTTATTTTTAACAATTGGTCAAATGGATATTGGGAGATAGCTGTTGCTTGCTCAATATGGCTATAGGGAGACAGCAGTTACTTGCCCAATATGGCTATAGAGAGACAGCAGTTACTTGGCCAATATGGCCATAGAGAGACAACAGTTGCTTCTCCAATATAGCCATAGAGAGACAGCAGTTACTTCTCCAATATAGCCACAGGGAGACAGCAGTTACTCTGTCATTCTATGGCAACGAAGGAACGCCATCGTCGTCGTTCCTTCACTTTCTAGTGTGTGGTTTGGTCAACATATTTCAGCCACGTTATTGTGACTCTTCGTCTGCACAGCATTTACTCGTTCAATATAGCCATAGGGAGGCAACACTAAACTTCCTCAATATGTCTCAGGGAGACAGAAGTTGCTTGATCAACCACACACAAATAATGTATATTAGCAATAGGATACATAGAATATTGATTATAATTTAAACTACTTTATTGTGACTGTACAATAAATAATGCTTTCCTAATATCAGTGAGGATTAATCTTCATATATTATGCATAAGCTGGAGCGGGCTGGTAGGCTGGAGCGGGCTTATAGGCTGGAGCAGGCTGGTAGGCAGGGTACTGGGCCTCACCCTCGTAGGTGACCTCGGCTACGTAGCCGGAGTCGCCGTTGACGTAGTAAGTCACCTTCTGCAGACGACCGTCGGGGAGGAGAACGCTGTAGGAGCCCTGGGTGTCGTAGCCGTCGCGGGTCTCCTGGTGGCCGAAGTCGGTACCAGAGTAGTCGTCCTTCACAGCAAACTGTGAGTTGTACTGCGGTGGAGTCTGTCGACACAAGCATTTTGTCTCTTATGGGGAAACTGCATTATATACACAGACAGGTCTCCCAATGATAACACAATCAAAAAGTGGCTTGATTCAAGTTAAATCAATGTTGATTCGGCGTTGAATTGCCGTTGATCTTAGATGTTGTACCCACTGGTATATTTCTTGTTAATAAATGTCTTGACATTATCTAATACTCTTAGATATGTGATGGTTAATGCAAATTCATATAATAAGACCTAAGAATGTGTGAATTCATGCATAAGTATTAAACAAGTATTTTTATGAAAGTATTCCATTGCTATATGCCAGCTGTAAAACAAATTATTGAAACAATTTAACTGAACTTTTTAAGCAATAGTGCACAGGTATATCTTACATCAGGATAAGCTGGAGCACCGTAGGCAGGTTTTGGGGGAGGGTATGATGGGGGTGGACCGTACACTGGGGGAGGTTCAGGGCGGGCAAGGGTGACAGCCACAAGGGCAGCCATCATTAGAACCTACAGAACAAAAACATTATGGTGAGAACAGAGATTCGTATCAATCCCGTCCAAAAATATCAGCGACAGACAGGAGTTCCGTGCCAGTTCTGGTCCACAAGGACTAGGTTGGTGACAGCGTTGCGACGCGGACCGCCACAATACGCACACTGTTTTACAACTTCACTAAAGTCGCAGGTGGCTTCAAGAGCCTCTCACACGCCGATCAGGTGAAAGGAAGCGGTGGTCAGCGCATTACCTGGAGTTCTCACGTGTGCTGTTAGCCAGGGAGTGGCCGAGAGGCTTCCCGCCACACCTACATACCTCGACCACCAAATGGACGCTCAAACCACGACTGACTGAACTGCAATAACGTCTAACAGGTTAGCACGCATATACAAAATCAGACTTTATCACTAGCAGATACAACCTAAGTTATGTTGTTTCAAAAGAGTGTTAAATGCCAACAGCACTAATTCCCATGAAATATATAATGATCCGAAAACAATATATAAATAATTAAATAGTGTTGTATTTTTGAAGTATAAAAAACACCCACGTAATCTGGGTGTCTGAGTCTACTCTCATCAGTCTTTCATTTTGTTATTATATCTCAGAGGCTGAGGGCTTTATTGCCCCATGGCTTATGGTAAGTCTTACCCGCTAGTTTCTCAGGAATACGACCTTCAGTCGTTTAATAACCAGGTTCCCAATCTCTTGGGCGAACAGAGGTGTATAGTTAAGGATTGGCGTCTGGTGAATCCTCCCTGACTAGGACTTGTCTTCCTCTCCATTCCCTCTTCTCTCTCTCTCTCTCTCTCTCTCTCTCTCTCTCTCTCTCTCTCTCTCTCTCTCTCTCTCTCTCTCTCTCTCTCTCTCTCTCTCTCTCTCTCTTTCTCTCTCTCTCTCTCTCTCTCCCTCTATCTCTCTGTAGCGCAGCAATTGGCTCGCAACCGAATGATTCCAGGTTCGATTCCCACTCTAGGTAAAGCGTTTAGGCACGCTCCCTTACACCAGATGCTTCTGTCCACCTAGCAGTAAATAGGTACCCGGGAACTATAAAACTGTTGTAGGTTGCATCCTGGGGGAAAGTCAGTAGTTGACTTTAGCGAACCTCAATAACTTTAACACCCTTTCTGTTGCCTCTCAGGAAGAAATCACAAAGTTCTTCATTTCTGAAGAATTCTTCATTTCATTTTCAACATTCTTCATTTCTCTACTCCAGCCATAGTTTCTTCCTCGGCTTATATGCTTCCTCCCTTCCTTCACCTTCTCTATCTCATTCCCCTCGTACGCTTTCCTTCGTTCTCACCTAATGAGAGTAGTTAAGCAAGTGTCACAAGACACATGCTTAACAAGACACAAGACACTTGACGCCAGTGTCACAAGACACATGCTTAACAAGACACAAGACACTTGACGCCAGTGTCACAAGACACATGCTTAACAAGACACAAGACACTTGACGCCAGTGTCACAAGACACTTGCTTAACAAGACACAAGACACTTGATGCCAGTGTCACAAGACACTTGCTTAACAAGACACAAGACACTTGACGCCAGTGTCACAAGACACATGCTTAACAAGACACAAGACACTTGACGCCAGTGTCACAAGACACTTGCTTAACAAGACACAAGACACTTGACGCCAGTGTCACAAGACACTTGCTTAACAAGACACAAGACACTTGACGCCAGTGTCACAAGAATGCGTCAAGCCAGTAAGACAATATACCACCGCCCCCACACCACCTGATGTGAGTCTTACCGACGAAAGTAACAGTAATACCGACTTGTATGCCAGACACCGCAAGGTAGTTGGTGGAGACAGCCGTCATCAAGGCAACAATTAGCCCAGAACGTGACGCTACTTACCCCCCAGCCGTCTCACACAGCGTGAACCATAAAAAACGTGACAATGGGAGCATTAGGTAATATGAAGTACTCCCTAACGTTCGAGAACTGCGTCCTCACAGTAGACTGTTGAACTATATGTATTACATCACTGGTCGTAACTGAAACGGAAGGAATCACCTTCGCAATCATGTTCTTTCGTGGGAAGTCGAGGAGCAACTGGTGTCTGATCGCATCATTGGAACCCCTTTTATACCTGTGGCCACGCCCCTGAGTGCCATTGGCTCGAGGACATAGGTAGAATGTGGCAGGAGATTGGTGGAGGCCTGATATTAACCTTCTATGGCTCCGGGTAAAGGAAAGTGAGGTGTTTGGAAAATGCTTGAGGGTGTGTCTGGCGAAGTGATGTGGAGCTTCAAGGCTGTGTTTTTGGTGTACAGTTGGGTGGTGGTTGTGGGTGGTGGTGGTTGTGGGTGGTGGTGCTTGTGGGTGGTGGTGGTTGTGGGTGGTGGTGGTTGTGGGCGTGTTGTGGGAGTGCATGGGAGATCGGTCTATGGGTGGGTGATCCTTGTGGGTGTGCATGGGAGGTGGGAGCAGAAGTTAAGGAGACAATACACATGAGAGTTTGATGAGTATTGATGAAGCATCGAGTATATATATACGGATGGGTATAGCAGGTGGTGGGTGATGAATAGTGGTGGTAGATAACAATCCACCATCAGTACTCATCACCCAGTGGGTGATGAGTACTGATGGTGGATGAATATAACTGAGGATACAATACTGTTCAGTAAATATATATACTGGTGTTGTGGGTGGATGAGTGTAGGTGATGTGGGCGTGGATGTAGTGGGCGTGGATATAGTGGGCGTGGATGTAGTGGGCGTGGATATAGTGGGCGTGGATGTAGTGGGCGTGGATATAGTGGGCGTGGATGTAGTGGGCGTGGATATAGTGGGCGTGGATGTAGTGGGTGTGGATATAGTGAGAGTGGAAGTGACGTGTGGATGCTATCTCATTATATCAATACCGGAAGTTGAAGTATTTGTTGTATATTTCCACACACAGTCGCAATACTCCTGGACCATAACCCATGAACGCAATCATATAATTGTACTCATCAAACTGTGCTTGAGAAGGGAGTTGAGTTTAAGTTCTCCGTTCCCGCCTCACATCCATCAAACGACTGGCGTACAGGTTTCCGCGTTTCTGTACTACCCATTCTAAATATTGTGTTCATATCTGTTTTGTCCGTATCGCGGAGAATCGTGTATGTGATGACCATGTCTCCCACGACTCGTCTGATTTCTTGAGACGTAAGGTTACATTCCTTAATTGACTTTTAACTCATACCTCTTAGTTCTGGAACTAGCCTGGTGGCAGACCTCTGGATAGTTTCAGCTTCGTTTTGTGTTAGAAATTTCACGCTGGCGCTGCATATTCCATGACTGATCTGACGTACGTGGCATAAAAGGTATGAAAGCAATTTTAATACAGATTTAACATTTTCATCTGATAACATCCATTTGATGATGACTTAGGAGAGAGGTTTGGAATGAAAGCTCTAGAGCTTTATTCTCTCATATACTCTAATCCAACTACTGGCTATCTCCAGGATAAAACCCACATCCACTTTCTAACTCCCAGATACCTATTTTCTGTTAGATGGACAGAGATATATCAGGTGAAAGGAAACATTGCCAAAACGCTTCTGTCTTGCCTCAGTAATCGAACCGACGAGCCTGGGCACAATCAATACAGCCTACGACAAAAACATACAATTAATATACACATCCCCGATGTAATTAAGACAATATTTACCTAAAATTTACCTTAACCTAAAAGACCTAAACTAACGAATTTGCTGAAACCGTTTACCTGTTCCTCGCGACGGTATCAAAAGAAGCTAAACAAAACTACTTTACAATTGAGTTATTACTGAATTAAGATGAACAACTTTAGGGGAAAGTCTAACCCAACCATTGAACTGGTTCAGCGATTATCTGGTCTATATGTAATGTTTGTCTTCCTCTTGGATTCGGGTGCATTGTTTCAGAGGCTTTTTAACCCTAAATATTCTGATTTACTCACCTGCATTAATACACTGAAGAATGTAATAAAATATGTTAAATACTGTTGTTATTCATCACTGCTAAGAATGATTATTATATTGTGTACATTCATCTTTTTTGGCTGTTATTTGTTATCTAAGACTGGAGCTCACTGGGAATGTCACTGATGTTTCTGATGAAATTTCAGGTTTAAGAGCTGATCTAAAGCCTCACCTCTCTCTCTCTCTCTCTCTCTCTCTCTCTCTCTCTCTCTCTCTCTCTCTCTCTCTCTCTCTCTCTCTCTCTCTCTCTCTCTCTCTCTCTCAGCACTACCGTCAGAAGTCACCTTGACCGCTGACAAACATTGGGAGGTGGCCCCGGGGTGCGCCAGGAATATCCTCCACAGTCACCCACCAGAGAAAATTGCAGCAAATTCAGAAAATACCAGTCGCTCGTGCTACGATTACTGTGGCTCCTGCTTGTAACAGTCGGCACTTGTGCTGCTATTACCTACCGTCCCTCTAATGCTACACCTTCTGTCTCAAGTGTTACAGCTACCGTCCCTAGTGCTACCGTCTCTATTGCTACAACAACTGTGTCTATTGCTGCAACAACCATTCCTAGTGCTTCAACCCTGTTATCTAGTGCTACAACTCTAGTATCTAGTGCTACAACTCTAGTATCTTGTGCTACAACTCTAGTATTTAGTGCTACAACTCTAGTATCTAGTGCTACAACTCTAGTATCTAGTGCTACAACTCTAGTATCTAGTGCTACAACTCTAGTATCTAGTGCTACAACTCTAATATCTTGTGCTACAACTCTAGTATCTAGTGCTACAACTCTAGTATCTTGTGCTACAACCCTAGTATCTAGTGCTACAACTCTAGTATCTAGTGCTACAACTCAAGTATCTAGTGCTACAACTCTAGTATCTTGTGCTACAACCCTAGTATCTAGTGCTACAACTCTAGTATCTAGTGCTACAACTCTAGTATCTAGTGCTACAACTCTAGTATTTAGTGCTACAACTCTAGTATCTAGTGCTACAACTCAAGTATCTAGTGCTACAACTCTAGTATTTACTGCTACAACACTAGTATTTAGTGCTACAACTCTAGTATTTAGTGCTACAACTCTAGTATTTAGTGCTACAACTCTAGTATTTAGTGCTACAACTCTAGTATCTAGTGCTACAACTCTAGTATCTAGTGCTACAACTCTAGTATCTAGTGCTACAACTCTAGTATCTAGTGCTACAACTCTAGTATCTTGTGCTACAACTCTAGTATCTAGTGCTACAACTCTAGTATCTAGTGCTACAACTCTAGTATCTAGTGCAACAACTCTAGTATCTAGTGCTACAACTCTAGTATCTAGTGCTACAACTCTAGTATCTAGTGCTACAACTCTAGTATCTAGTGCTACAACTCTAGTATCTAGTGCTACAACCCTAGTATCTAGTGCTACAACTCTAGTATCTAGTGCTACAACTCCCACACCTATTGTTACAACTACTGCCATTAGCGCTCTAACTATCGTCACTAGTGATACATCTACCCACCCTAGTGTTTCAACTTGTGTCTCTAGTACTACAACTCCCTTTCCTAGTACAACTACTGTCCCCTAATATGTTTGAACCTAGGGTTTGAGTCCCTAGTGACTCGAACTATTGGACTCAGGGTGGTCTATTGGGCAGTGGCTGGGATTCTCTCGTTCGTGGGTTCGAGTCACCTTAGGGCACGCCTTTATCACTAGTGCTACTATTGCTATCGGTAGTACAACACATGGAGAACTATGGCCGCCAGTTCAATTCAGAAATCCCTGTGCTAGAATCGAGCAGAGGCGGCTAGCAAATTCAATAGACATGTCTTATTTGGCTATACTTGAACCAGGCAGTGGCTATACTAGAGCCAGGAAGTGGTCATACTAGAGCCAGGAAGTGGTCATACTAGAGCCAGGAAGTGGTCATACTAGAGTCAGGCAGTGGTCATACTAGAGCCAGTAAGTGGTCATACTAGAGCCAGGAAGTGGTCATACTAGAGCCAGGAAGTGGTCATACTAGAGCCAGGAAGTGATCATACTAGAACCAGGAAGTGGTCATACTAGAGCCAAACAGTGGCTAAACTAAAGCTTAACAAAGAAAGAACAGTCTAAAACAAAGCACGAAGATCGGAATTGACTGCTAGAAATGGCTGTAATTGACTAGAGTATTGAGTTTTAAATGGGGTATCGGGCCGTGTCCTGGAAGACCACAAAAGGTTGTGCCATTCATAGGGTTGGAAGCCGACGTCGACCTGGTGGCCGGATCACGACCCGTTGAAAACAATCATTCATTACGAATATCCATGAGGCACAGGGTCTTTTATGCTATAAATGAGCAGTTGTGTTAGTAATGGCAATGCCTTTTATTTAGCGAAATTCAGTGTATGGACTTGAATCCAGAGTTGTTAATATATATAGGGATGAACAAAAACTCTTCAGTCCCTGGCTAAAGAAATATGAGATCCGTTACATCACAACGGGACTTGTACGTCTCCCGCCACCAGTGACAGAAAACGTGACACTGTAAACTAATGTAAATCTTTATATATATATATATATATATATATATATATATATATATATATATATATATATATATATATATATATATATATATATATATATGTCGTACCTAGTAGCCAAAACGCACTTCTCAGCCTACTATGCAAGGCCCAATTTGCCTAATAAGCCAAGTTTTAATGAATTAATTGTTTTTCATCAACCTAACCTACCTAACCTAACTTTTTTGGCTACCTAACCTAACCTAACCTATAAAGATAGGTTAGGTTAGGTTAGGTAGGGTTGGTTAGGTTCGGTCATATATCTACGTTAATTTTAACTCCAATAAAAAAAAATTGACCTCATACATAATGAAATGAGTAGCTTTATCATTTCATAAGAAAAAATTAGAGAAAATATATTAATTCATGAAAATTTGGCTTATTAGGCAAATCGGGCCTTGCATAGTAGGCCAAAAAGTACGTTCTGGCTACTAGGTACGACATATATATATATATATATATATATATATATATATATATAT